TAATGAATTGCAACCGACCTAACGTCACACTCTGGAGACGTCTGAAGGGTGCTGGCAGAGCTCAGCAACTGTGCCCTGGCCTGGAAGGACTATTATACCCTTGATCCAAGATCAGGGCTGTGTAGGCAAGCACTGGGGAGGGGAGGGGGGAAGGGTTGACAGTAATTGGGTTTACAGCATGTTGATTTGCTTTCAGGTTAAACAATAGGGCTTTTCTTTATGGAGATAAAAGTGGGTGTTAAATTTTTTTCTGGAGACTGAGCACAGAACTAAGAAAAGGGAGGGAACTTCTACAGCCAATGGCCCTTAATCCCATGCTCCAAACTGCTGCCCACTTTGTCCCCTAACTTTCTTAGCAAAGTCTAGATTGCTCATTAGCTATAGGAAGGATATGGAAGAGAAGGCAATTTAATTTTTGTGTTACTCACATTTGCTACGACCATTTCACATCAGATCCTCTTTGCATGGGCCTGTGGATTCATTGAAGATTCTGCCAGGAGAGTTTGTACTTAAAGAACTGTGTACTCCAGGTGGAAAATCATTTCTTTTACTGTTTTCCAGAGTTAGTTAATTGTTTAAAAACTGTTCTGATTGGTGGTTCTTCTGGTTGAAATAGCCTCTCAGGCATTCATACCAAGGATGTTTAGAGACCATTCTCGAATGTAATTTGCAGGGCTAGCTGGTGGCAGCACTTCAACAACAGGCCCAGCCGCTCTCTGGGAACTGTGGGAAGAAGGGCCAATGTATATTGTGGTGCTGACCTTCGTTCCAGCAGCTCCGGTTTTGGAAGCAGGCAGGAGAGGCACACACAGCAACTTGTGTGAAGGGCACAGGGCGGTCACAGGCCAGTTATGGAAGCCCTGGTGGACTATATATTTTAAGGAGGAACTGTTGTGGGAAAAGCATGAGATTGGGAGTCAGGAAATCTGGGTCCTCTTCTAAGCAAATTGCATGAGAGATGTGGGCCTCGATGTCTTCGTCTGAGAAAAAACACGGTACCACCAACAGGACCAGGGAGGCAAGATGGTTACAAGCTAAATCCTGAACCTTTTATCTGCTTTATATTTCAGGGGCTCCCAGGAGTATTTGTTTAATGAGTAATATCCGATACTAAAATAAGTGTAAAGGCTTCTAGCAAGAACATGTTTTCTAAGACTTTTCTAGAATTCTAGTACTGCAAATGGGAATAACCAGCAATTACATTTAGTGTAATTCTCATGATTCTAATCATTTTAATTATTGATTTTTCAGCCCATTTGTTATTTGATTTTGAAAACAGCTTCACGTTAGCCACAATTGGGAATTTCTTAGCGGGAGTTCCATGGGTGGATTGCTGGGAGTCTGAGAAAACCCTAAACACACATGCAAGCCTTTGTGGATTTGGGCATAAAGAGGTCAGAACTTTCATCTCTCAACAAGGAAAGCGGTAACGACACAAGTTATCCCCACTCGGTGGGAGTCAAACATCCAGATCTCCAGTTGACACACAGTGAGTTTGAGTAGATGGCGTGGACTTTGCAGTGAGAACAACTTCCTAAGCCCCCTCACACCACTCCATCCCTTCCCAAGGATTACATCACATCGCTGGTTTGCCTTCATAGCACTGTGGGCAAGGAGAGCGTCAGCAGGGCCTTGGGTCACGGTGCAACATTCCCCGTAATCTTACCTTTCCTGGCATTTGAAGGAGGCCGAGATGAAATTCTTTGGCTCTCCATGCCAAACCTCAGCTCTGACATGCTTCTACTAGATAGAGAGAACCGGGTATTCTTCGCTTTTGAATCTGTAGCCTTGTTAACCTGAAGCTCTAAATGCCTTGTGAGCCTGAAGGTAAGTATTCTTAAAAAAGATGTATTCTAAAGTAATTAGGAAGAGTCAAGGAGAACAAAAATGTTTGGCCATTCAGTAACATCTCACCTTGGGAGACTTCAGTTTTTCTGAGTGCATTCTCAATCTATTTGGTATCAAGTATCTGTGTGATTATTAGCATTCTATCCAATAGCAGACATTCCCATGGTCATTTAAGTCCCAGTTCAAAGGGGAATAGCCTGGTGGGGGAGAAGGAAGCACTGACCCGAGGCAGCAGCAGGAAATGGGGGCAGAAATGAGCCTGTCCTGGAACATGAGGTGTCAGAGAGAAGCCTCCAGACACATTAGGACAATCGAAGCATCGTACACAGACCCTGACTCACATAGCAGGGCAGGGCTGGGTTCTGGGGTGTGTGCCCCTGATCCACCTGCGTGGCACAAAGCAAGCTTCTTTTAGAAATGGCAGGCTAGTGCAGAAACAGTGCAGCCGATAAACCGTGGGGCATAAAAAGTCAGACAGACAAAGCCTGGTAACAAAGTGTAGAACTGACCACCGCCTTGAGGCCCTGTGAGAACCCTCAGAGTGTGACCCTTTGCTCTGCTTTCATTGCAGATGCTGCACAACAAGCACGTCATGGTCCGCGTGGGAGGCGGCTGGGAGACCTTCGCGGGCTACTTGCTGAAGCACGACCCCTGCCGGATGCTGCAGATCTCCCGCGTGGACGGCAAAACGTCCCCCATCCAGAGCAAGTCTCCCACCCTTAAGGACATGAATCCAGATAATTACCTGGTGGTCTCTGCCAATTACAAGGCTAAGAAGGAGATTAAGTGAAGCCAGTGGGTCATGACAAGGGGACTCTCTGGCAGTGGCCTGTGTCCACTTCTCCAGTGTAGTCAGTTTTAGTTCACAGGCTCCGCAAATTACGGAAAAAGGTGTAACACACAGAGAGATGCCATCTTGTCGAAAAATGTTTGAGGAGTAGCACTATTTATTTTACTGCTTCTGTAGAAAATGACCTTGTGAAAGGAAATTCTCAATTCCCATTTAGATTAGACAAATCTGTAGGCAAACGATTACTTCTCAATAGGTGAACACAGTATTCAGAGTGCCGTACTAGAAATACACTTCTAGCGAGAGAAAAACTTATTAGAAGGAAACATTTAGGATTCCTTACAAATAAGGAAAACAGAAAGTGCCTGCATTATGTCTACAAAGAACCCCAGACATTTTTGTAATTGCAGGGTTTTTAAACTAATTTTTAAAGTGTCAGTGTAATAATGTGCTACTAAACATATCCAACAGCACTATAAATAAGTCCAGAGTATTCGCAACAGTAATAAATACTTTCCTGGAAAGGCCACTTCAGAAAAGTTTACATTCACTCGGAAGATTGCCTTAAAGTTTATCCCTTATCTATGACCAAATATCTGGGGTACTTTCAGAGGTTTGCAGTACACCCCCTTTAGAGAATCGCTAATAAACTGTTGCACACACTCCTCAGAAACAGGGCTGTGTCCAGACCAAGCGTAACTCACACCCATAAGCTGACGTACATTTATATTTTGACAGAGTAAATTGTACAGTCAAATGTTCATTGACTTCATGTTCTTTTAAAGCATTCTTATTAAAATATATCTTTAGTTAATCCTACTTTGCTATGCTGTCTAGTAAAGTCAATTCACTGTAGCTAATAATGTTACAGACTTATGTATACCCTTGTACACCTAGGACAAAGCTGTTTTGTAACCATAAACAGCAAAATATTGTCCTGATTCAAAAATTAAAAAGTGAGAAAAAAATTTGTGTCTCAATATCAATGGCTTATTCTGAAATAAAGATAATCTTCAAGCAGCAAATTTCCCTGAGAGTTATAGTTAAAAGTTAAATTGCTTCTTCACTTTGGGCAGCTGAGGGATGGTGGTGTATGAAGAGTCTAGCTTTTGTCATAGGTGGCCCCTTAAATGCTACTTGAGTATAAAAAGTATAGGCAGAATGAATTTGTCATTTCCTCATTTTCCATCATCCACCTTTTTTGCTCCAGGAAGTCGGGGGGAAGTACCTGTCATGTGACCACTTCCGATGCAGCCTACCCAACCTGTTAATCGGGAAGGTTGTAAACAACAGGCACGGTGTAATTTGGTGGTGTTGAAGTGGTGATAATCATTCTGGGGAGAAATTAAAGTGTTGTAGGAAATGAAATTACCTTGGAACAGTGGATAATTGTAGAGTCTGAAAAACACAGGTATTGAGTGATTTGATTTTATGTTACTAACCTAATATTCATACTGAATTGCTCTGTGTAGTAATTGGCAAGATTATTTCCATCGAAACCTCCTGCGCTTAAATTTTTCCTGTAAACATAGTTGTATCTTTAATAATTAATTTAGTTTAGAAAAGTCTAAGTTAACAAAAACAATATTAATCTCTTTGTGCATTTTGTTTTCTGAGGTAACAAGTGACCAGAAATTCAGTGGCTTACACACCACATATTTATTATGGGGCAGTTCTGTGGGTCAGAAGTACAAGATGGTCTCACTGGGCCTAACAGCAAGACGTCGGCAGGACTGTGTTCCTTTCTTAGAAGAGAATCCATGTGTCTTTTCTGCCTTCTAGAGGCTGCCTGGTTTTCTTGGCACGCGTCCCCCTTCCTCCACCTTCAAAGCCAGCAACAGAACATCTCCATGATGCTTCTTTCTTTCCATCTCTTCGTCTGACCACAGGTTGCAGAGGTTCTCAACACAAATGGGCATGAACGTCTACCAACCTCTTACTGATCTATTTGTGCAGTTATTATTCAAATCTCAAATTGACAAGTTGCTTTTTTTACCCCAGGGTGTAGCTTAATTCTTAGAAGAAGATAAACAAGTTGAACTTTTGGAAGAGGAGAGGAAAATGCAAGGTTTAAATCAATTCTCCCAGGCGGCCAAGGGTGATGGTTAGAACCAGTTATGGTTTTTTTTTCTAAGAAAACAAGAGATGAGTAATACCATGTCTTCTTTAGAGAACTGGAAAAGAAACATGCCTTCCCCCAACTTCAGGGACAGTTTGGACACAATGGACAGCTTCTAGCTCTGTTCTCATTAATTCAGAGAAGAGTGTTGCTGAGGTTTCCTTATCCACTTACCCAAGTTCTAATTATTTAAGATACAGTGGAGATAAAATTGTGTTAGACAGAGACAACCAAAGCCAGCTCTTATAAAGGAAAAATGTGTATTTATCTCCCTGGATGGCAATACAGAATTTATAGCAAAACCATGTGTGGGAATTACATTCCAAACACAACTGGCAGAACAGTGACTCATACAGACACTTAATAAAACATGCAGTGTGTCAACCAAGAGTCCATGGAATAATGTGCAGCTTTTTGTCACCGGCCATGTTATCTGTTTGACAACTAGAAGAATAAAGCAGTGATTTAGGCATTTTACAGCTTAACACGATCGTTAGGTATATGCATTTTACTATTTCATTAACATTTTAGTAATTTGAGTGGGAGGTTTGGGTATATTAAGCATTGTGTTTTCCTATTTAAACCATGAATTATGGTAAATTGGTTCCCAATGAAGGTTTTCATCAGGAAGTGATTCGTAACTTGATGAGGGAGATGCCTGGATGTATCTATATGCATGTGCACAAATATTCCCTTTTTAGTAATAATTTACCAGTTTCCTATCAGGCATTTAGTCTCCCCCTTTCCTTTCCTAACACTGTTCCTGACATTTGGGTATCACCTCTGAGCCCATGTCACCCAGGTGGCCTGGGGAAGCTGCCCACACCCACGGGGGCAGGCAGGGCGTGGCTGGCCGGAGCAGGACTCCCCACGGTTCCCAGAAATCAATGCAGCAGCCTCCCATCCATGCTTCCACAGCACACAGTATGGTGTCTGCACACGAGCTGCTGTCAGAAACAGGGAATTATACCCTAGATGTAAACCTTTTGTTTACACTAACCCACGCTGTCACTTAGGATGTAGTACAGATAAAACTGTGATTTCAATATTAAAACAGGACGACAGATTTGCACAGTTCAAGGATGATACATCTGGTCCTATATCCTTTCAGCTGTTAATAATCCTTTTTCCTTTCTGCCTTGGAAAAATTAATCATGTTCATACAATCAAAATTTTATTTCTAAAATTCAAAAGTTTCACTATCCTTTATGATTTTCAATCCTCTAAGGGATGAAGAAAATTGAGCCTAACTGTATGTCTTGTGTGGATATCATGAGATACTTATTTCGTGCCATAATAGAAAGGGTAATTTTTCCAACGATGAGTCAAGAGTCCTATATTATAGTTCAAATTCTTTAAAATGAACATATACAATACACTGCAATGTAACACAAGTCTTGTAGTAGGGATGAGCAATACAGTGGCTGAGTTTCCTTTCTATAAATCAAATGGACGGGTCTATTTAATTTAGTCCTTATTGACACTTAGTACCTGCAAATTCGAACTTAGGCCTCAGACTGTAGCCTTGCCACCCAAAAGAGTTAGCAAATCATAATAGCTACTTAAAAGATACAGCGATTCTCCTACTTTAGCTTAGTACACATTAAAAGAAATTCAAAAACCAAAAATGTGATAAAACTCATGTTACTAATAAACAGACATCTACAAAGTTCATGACTATGCCTACCATAGAATTAGCTCGTAATAGTTTTACACTTAAAGAAGGTCCTTTTAAAATACAGTTCCTGCATGTTTCTCTTTCATACATTCCTGTTTGCCTTGGCAATTTTATACCTGTATAAATCTTATGATCATTTTTAAATAAATACAAAAGAATAAAAACATTTATGAAATGTGGACAAGTACATTACCACTTGGTATAACCCACCCTGATTCCTAGTTTAACTCATTCGGTTACTACACAGATCTCCACGGAGCCGACTCTTTTGCTCTGGAGCAGGGTATCACTGCCCTCTGACGGCACCGCCGATGTGTGATTCCGAATCCAGCAGGCCAAAAAATGTAAAACAGTGTGTTACATTTATAAGCTACACAAGTAGAAAACAAATGAGAAATGCAACATTTTCTACAAATATTCATTACTTAATGAGTTATAAAAATTTACAGTGTTCCTTCATATAACCCTTTCAAATGATTTTAAGGTTTTCCCTGATGATGTTTAAAGGCACTAAGTCCAGAAGTTTAAGCAAAAGACTTCATAAATAATGAAACAAAAGCAATGTGTGGCTAAGCAAAAATATTATAAATAGAGCATTTTTATAAAGGAGAAAAAATAAAACTGCAAATTTTAATATTTGAAATGGGGAATCTTTATATGTGACTATATATATATATATATATATATATATATATATATATATATATATATATATTTACCTTTTAGATTTCACTACTAAAAATGGCAAATTACCCACTACCAGCAGAATAGCAAATGTAGGAAAATAAGTATTCAGTGAAAGGTCTGGCCATTTTCCAAGTCTGAAAATCCAATATTGAAATCATTTTCAATATTTCAATACTGAAAAAGCACTGCATTTAAGGGCACTAAAATTACAAAGCCTGAATCTTCATTTATTCAAAAAGAAGAAATTAAATAGAGGATGTCCACTTGATTGCAGATATTAGTTACTGGCAGTAGACTCTCGTATTATCTTTTATGAAACTGTCCACTAGAAAATAAAAACATACAGAGAAAAGTACATTTTATTTAAGGTTATGTAACAATACTCCAAGTGAGCAAACAGCCAAAGAGAGGATGATGGGATATGCCAGTGATTTTCAACCAGTGTGCTGTGGTACACTGGTGTGCCACAAGAATTTTTAAAACATGCAATACCTTTTCTGGCTGGTGTGGTTCAGTGGACTGAGTACTGGCCTGCAGACCTAAAAGTCGCCAGTTCAACTCCCAGTCAGGGCACATGCCTGGGCACAGGCCAAGTTCTCAGTTGGGGGAGGGGGAGAGGCAATCAATTAATATTCCTGTTGTACATTAAAAAAAAAAACATGCAATACCTGACTATTTAGTCAGGGCACTGACTTAATTTCCCTTAGATTGTCAAAAAAAAATGACAACAGCTAGCGCAATAGCCGTCCAGTGTGAATGAATCAAAATTATACCTATTTTCTTATCAGTTGGCAAAAAATACATTTTTTGGTGTGCCATAGAATTTTAGGAGCTACTTCATATGTGTCATGAGATGAAAAAGATTGAAAATCACTGGGATATGCAAATATAAACTGATTTTTGTGAATAGCAGTGATTTGTAAAATTTTACTTTACACATATAAAGAAATAAAGTATTTGGTCAGATTAATGCATAACTAAATCCTAAATATCTAATAATCACTAAAGGGGGAAAAAAGAAACAAACACCACCAAATAAAAACAACAATGAAACTACAAAATGACAATACACTACAGGAATTCTTGTTTGAGGCACGGAACTAGGAAGTTGTAGAAATTATTAAATAATGGTTTGGCAATGTTTTCCTTGTGTGAGTTGAGAAACTATTCCACTTGTTCTGTTTAATCAAGTCTATTAAATCTGCAGTAAGAAGTTCTGAAAGAGCCACTGGGGAAGGACCAACTGGAGACAACTTGGAGTCTACTGAGTAGTGTTTTCCAAGTACATCCGAGGAATATTATTGGGTGTGTGTATAGAGAGATTTAAATACAGTTTTAAAATTAAGGTTTACTTCTCACAAACTCGCTTTTATTGCAGAACTTCTTAGAGCAGGGGTGTCCAGCCCGTGGCCGCATGGGGCTCAGGATGGCTATGAATGTGGCCCCAGACAAAAATTGTAAATTTACTTAAAACATTATGTCATATATTTGTGACTTCATTTTCAGTTGACATAAATATGCTACTTGCCAATTTTCAAATGTAATGCATAGAGCTGCAATCTGACACTCAACTTAAAAATTTGATTATGTCTCTTTACCAGATTTTTTTATAGGTCCTATCTTTCCAAAAACAAATATCCCTGGCTTCACAATCACACCTTATTCCTGTCATCACTTTTTGGCAGCACCTGCATTTGCAGGCAACTATTTTCAAGAATGAAACACATTAAGAAAGAGTAAAATTAGAACCAAAATATCTGAGGAGCACCTTGGGAACTCACTGGGAATTGCAACTACTTCTATCAAACCAGATATTGATGCACTAGTTTCTCAAATACAATGTCAAATGTCCCACTAGTTTTATGTCACCCTCTTTTCTTTTACTTTTATGCTAAAAAATTTTTTTTAATTATGATGTTTTATTACTTAGATAAGTACACTTTCTATACTCGTGATCACAAACTTGGGACCTGCTCGACAATTTTAAAAGATTATTGAAAGGGCCGCAGCATAATTAGGGTTATTATGCAAGGCTTTTTTGCTTATCTGTGGTGGTGGATATCATGCAAATTATGCACAGGCCTTTTTCTTGCTCATCAGTTCTCCTTAGTGTTTGTGTATTTAGTGCGTGGCCCAAGGCAACTCTGCTTCTTCCTCTTCCACTGTGGCCAGAGATGCCAAAAGGTTGGACACCCTGTCCTAGAGACTGGAATACTGTACCCTTTTTTCCAACAAAGGGATATAGTATACAACGTAATATGCAGAACTTTAAAACATGTGTTTACCAGGGCAGTCTATTTTCCACAATGTTTCTCTTAGGACTAGAGTGAAAAACACTAAATCAGAGATTCTCAATCTGATTTGAGAAGATATCAAAAATATCACAGAGTAAAAAAAAAGTGTAGGTTTTAAATACAAATTTTTAGTTTAGTCCAATTTAGTAGAATTTATGTGTAAGTGGAAACAAAAAATGAGGTTTCAAAGTGACACTGAATTTGAGTGATTTTGCTACTTTATACTCTCTCATATTATTTGAGTGTTCTACACAGTTTAGTATTAATTATATAAAGAGTTAAGATAATCAGGATAAATCTATTTTAATTTTGAGAGAAAGAAAGTAAACCTATTCCAAGTAAATGCTAGAATGTCCAAATAAACTGATACTTCTTCCAATCTATATTATCCATGCTTTTAAATCAATTCAAAATTTTCTGATAATCCATTTTAAGAGAAAATTATTGCGTGGACTGCTACTGAAAATTTTTAAAAATTCCAGGTGACCTTAAATAAATTTTAATACTTACTCTAAGTCCACCTTCTGGTGGGGGCCCAGATGTAGCTATTTGCTTTTCTATTTTTTCTCTTTTCTTTCTCTTTTCTTCCACAGACTGAACATTCAAAATGCCCCGAGATGCAGCCTTTAAGAAATTGAAGGAGTACAAAAAACAATAAAGTTCAGTATCAGAGTGTTTTGGTCTGTCTTGTTAGCTTTGGAGATGGGGTATTGGTCTACTTGGTAACAAAGATTTAGACTGCTTCTACAACAGCTTTACATAAAAAATCATTTTTTCACTAGATATTTTATAACCATATAATCTTTCCCTTAAACTAATTTCGAATCGGTGTTTAATAAGGCATGGTCATTTTATCTCAGGGAGTAATGTTACTAAAGAGGCATCACACATTAGAGAAGACAGCTATATAATAATTTTCACATAATAAATGACATAAATACATGAATGTAATTTACAGAAAGAGATCATTTTGAAAAATAATTACATTTAAATATAAATTTAAAGGCTATCTGATCCCATTTTTGTTAGAGAATACTACTAGTCATAGACATCTATCAAGAATAAAGTATAGTCCTGACCGTGTGGCTCAGCTGGTTGGGCATCTTCCTGCAAAGGGAAAGATCGCTGGTTCATTCCCAGTCAGGATATGAGCCTGGGTTGTGGGTTTGGTCCCTGGTCTAGACACCCAGGCACCTGGTGCCCAGGTGCAGAGAATCGATGTTTGTCTATCACATCAATATTTCTCTCCCTCTCTTTCTCCCTCCCCTTCTAAAGATAAATAAAATCTTAAAAAAGAAAAGAATAAAGTACAAACTTCTTTAACTAGGTAAAATTTCATTTATTCCCACCTCCTTCTGTCTTCTCTCTGCAGCTTCTGCAAGCTTTGCTCTTTTTTCTTCCTAAAGAATGTAAAAAAATATGCTTTAAAATAAAGCCCAACATAACCATGGATAATTATACACCTATATATCTCTTATAGATAATATAACAGTTTATAAAAATATTTAGTACTGGCCCAAAATGTTCTATCAAAAATGCCAGTATTTACATCTATAAAATAATTAACTTTCTCAATTTCATTCTCACAATTAATCAACATACTTCAAATAAGAACATGCTGAGACATATATATGATACATATTATATGTCTTGTATATTATATATGCATATATACATAACACAGGTTGGTCTATATAATAATCTATTCACTTTTGTTTAAAAAAAGGCTTACAAGCCAAGTCAGGGCAATAAAACAAATAATAATAATACAAGGTTTAGCACTACCAGTTATAAGGGGGTTTGAAGTAGGCTGGTGTTTTTAGGAAAGATTCATGGATGAAGTGAGAGAAGCTCACTGTGTATGACAGGAAGAACTGCGGGTACCTAGGAAGGGTACTGTTCCATGTTTGGAAACAATGATTTTTCTCTATCACGTATTAATTATAACATTTTTATATAAGACATGTGCATAGTTGTGTGAGCTTTGTTAATAATTCCCTTGTTTTCCATATATACATCCATCCATATTCATTCCTTGTAGAAATACAGTATTTACTGAATACCTATCACATGTCTCAGGAGCCTGAGTGCTGAGGATACAGCACTGAAAAAATACTGATGTTTCCACGCAAATGAAACTTAAATTCTGAAGGCACACAGTGAAATATAATCAATTAATAGCGTCTGTCAGTAGTAAGTGCTTAGGAAAGAAAAAGAGAAATAGAAGGAGGGGTGGGTGGTATAAGCGGGAATCTATTTTATTTAGCATGGTCAAGAAACACCACAGCAATGGAGTGACAGTCAGGTAGTGAGCCACGTGGTTATCTGCAGGAGTGGGTGGAGGGTTTAACAAGTGCTTACAGACTGGACATTTATCAGCAGCCAGATAAAAGTAACAGCATTTAAAAGCAACAGTAGCGAGAAAGGCAAGGTGAACTCCTTGGTACCAACTTCTAGGTCATTTGCTGTACCTACAACTAAATGGCTGAAGTTTATGCACTTTCTTAAATGCCTAATTTATTTAGAAGAATTTTTAGCAAGATAGGAGAGAAGACAGGAATTCAAATGCTCCGTTAGCAACTCTCAGCAGGGAGTATTAGTGTAAAGATACTGTTAAAAACAAAGCTACAAAAAGAATGAATGCAGTGAAGCACCAGCCGCTAAGTTTGAATTTCAGATAAACAATGAATATAATTCTAGTATAAATGTCTCAATATTGTATGCGACAAGTCTATTTTTGAAATGTGTTCCTTGTTTACCTGAAAACGCAAATTAAACTGGGCGTCCTGTATTCTTATTTGCTAAATAGGGCAATTTTAAAAGCTGTAAGCTCTGTACTATGTAAAATAATCGTTTCTTAAAAAGATTAATAATAAAGGGAAAGTACTAATACAATATCCAGTAAAGCTCAGGTGTATACGGGGCTTTATTGAGCACCTTCTTTAAACAGCTCGTACAGACACAGGAATACACACATCTCCTGCTAGAAGATTCGACACTTCAGTGCAGAAAGAGGAATTCCTTTTTGCACCCTAACCCGTTTATAGCGTCGCCGAGAACGGCCCCTACACTGCAGGGTTGGCGTTTGCCTGTGTCCCACCAACTTCCAATTCCACCGAGGTCAGCGAAAGGCAAAGAGACCCCGGCGCTGCCCTTGGGCAATTTGGTGAAGCCAAAGTGGAGAAACTGACGCGGAGGCGGCGGCCCCAATCCCGCCGGCAGGACCCCAGGTCCGTTCGGACGTGACCGCACGTCCGAGCGGATACGACCGCACGTCTCCGCCACCAGGCCGCACGCTCGCCAGGTCTCCGGCGCGCACCGCCTTGTCCAACCGCCGCACTGGTGCCCGCAGCGCCCGGCCTGGCGCGGCGCCGGTCCCGGGAACAGGTGCGCGCGGCGCGGCCGGCGGACGCGCTACGCGGCCTTACTCACCAGGTTCGGTGACGGAGGCGCGGACTCCCCTGGACAGGGAAAACACAGCCCCATCCGTGCAGCGGCTGGTGAGCCCCGCCGCCCCCGGCCGGTAAGCGCGAACTGCGCGGGGAACGCGCGGCCTCAGTCGGCTGCTCTAGCCGATCCTCACCCCGCTGGCGTCTAGCACGGGTCGGCTCCGCCCCCCGCTGCAACGCCCGCTCCCCTCGCGACTCCGCCCCGGCCTTGCGCTTGCTTCCGCCCCCGGAGGCCGCTTCCAACCCCCTCCAAGGGGCGGCGGCTGGAGGGAGTCCGCCTGGCGGACCGGGCCTGGACGCCAGGAAAAGTCTGTTTTGGGCAGCCTGCAGGGATGGGATGGGGGCACTCAGTATTCAAGGTTCCCACCTGCCTGGCCGTTTATAAATGAGTGTCACGACATTGGATGGTTTATGCCGCTGCTTTTGTGAGATGGGACTCGGACCTCCGAGAAATTAAAGTTTAATTGGATTAAACTTAGTGGAATTGCAAATTGACGTGAGCACCCTTTTCTGCCTTCTAAGTGACTCGGTATTATTCCAGCTGAGAGAGCAGAGTATGAAGTACAGGGTGCAGCACTAGTAATGGCCCTGTTTTTATCACAAAATCTTTTATTACAAAATCATGAGCATGTAATTCTGTAACAAAATAGCACACTCAGGCACACCATGTGACATGTTAGGAGAAATGTTCAAGTTAAAACTATAAAGTATTATACCCATGTGATTACCCTACCAACCACACTCAGGCAGGCGCTACCTCTGCCAGACCCTCCCCCACTCCCTGTACAGCACCATGGTTTAGAAACCAGCCTCATGGACCTGGCATTAGTTGAGGTGCCCATTGGTTCCTGATTTTTTGGATTCTCTTAGCCTTACAAGGGTAATGATAGAGGTTGATCTATTCAGAAGTATTTTAATTAAGTGTTTCTCAAATTTCAATACACGGAAAAATCATCTGGGCATCTAGTTAAAATGTAGTTTATAAGTTAAAAGTTTAGGGTGAAACCTGTGGTTCATTTCTGGTAAGCTCCTGAGTAAAGGTAAAGTTTTTGATCTCTTTACACAACTGCTTTTCTTTTTTTTTTTCTTGCGTTATACTAGTTTTCCTTGCTTGTTGGAATATCTTCAAATACCACAAAAAGGCAGGCTGTAAAGTGACAACTAAAACCTCAGAAACCACCATTTTATGGTTTAGAGTCTTATGTTTAAGTCCTTAATCCATTTTAAGTTAATTTTTGTGAGCTGCGTAACATTGAGGTCTAACTTCCTTCTTCTGCAGGACGTTATTCACCTTTTCCAACACCATTCATTTATTGAAGAAACTATCCTTTCCCCACTGCATACTCTTAGCTCCCTTGTCCAATAGTAGTGAGCTATATATGCAAGGGTTGATTTCTGGGCTTTTGATTCTGTTCCATTGGTCTATGCATGTATTTTTTTTTGTGGCAGTACTATAGCTTTTGATTACTGTAACTTTGTAGGATGGTTTGAAATCAGGAAGTGTGCTCACTCTAGCTTTGTTTTTCTTTGTTGACATTACTTTGGCTATTCTGGGTGTTTTTTTGGTTTCATACAAATTTTAAGATTGTTAGCTCTATTTCTGTGAAAAAATACTATTGGGTTATTGATAGGAATTGCATTGAATCTGCAAATTTCTTTCAACAGAATGGACATTTACACTATTAATTTTTCTGACTCATGAACAGAAGACATCTTTCCATTTATTTATGTCCTACGAAAAAACTGATTTGCTTTTTGTGGCTATAGATTTACCGTATTTTATAGACTTTCAGATAAATGGAATCATGTGTACTTCTTCAACATAAAGTTTTAAAATTTATTGTTACTGTGTGCATGTATCTTAAATAATACTCCATTTTTATAGATGTATCACATTTTTAAATGAATTTAATTATTCATTGACATATGGGCTATTATGAACAAAACTCCATAAATATTTGTGTATAGTTCTTTGGGTGCAAATGTACAAGGTCTGTCCAGTCAAGTTATCCAGCCACATAATATGAAAAATAGAGACATCTATTAGAGAAGATACAAGATACAAGAAACATTGTACAAAGGACAGTGATACCTCATTCCCCTTCAAAGTAGGCACCTTGAAACCTCACACAGTTCTCCCAGTCATCATCAGCTGCCCCATTGTATTTTCCTGAACCTCATCAAGGTCTGAAATCTCTCCCCTTTCAAAGGTGATTTTAGTTTGGGGAAAAGGCAGAAGTTGCAGAGTGCCAAATGTGGGCTGTATGGGGGCTAAGTCACCTGGCTGATTTGATATTTGGCCAAAAAGCTCTGCACAAGATGTGATGCAGGAGGAGGCACATTGTGATGAAGCAGCCAGTCACCAATTGCCCATGGAGTGTTCAAGCTGAATGCAAAATTTCAGGCAGATTTGTTACTGTACTTGGTCGGTCATTTTGAATGTGATGGCCACACAGTACACATGCTCACTAGCATCTACCACCTCCCCAACTAGTACAGACAAGTCGTCATTGTTCACACATGTGTATTCCAGTCCACTTTACTTGGCTGCCAAGTTACATTGATGTCTCGCGAACTGTTCTCATTATACCAACAATGCCTGGACTTTTTTTGGACAAACCTCATGCCTTATGTGCCCCGCAGATGGTCTATTTTTAGTGTTCTAGTGTACACTTGAAATAGGTGTTCTGTCCATGTTGGGTGGAATATTTTATAAATATCAGTAAAATTGTTGAATGGTAGTGCTATCTTCTATCTTTAATAGTTTATATTTGTTGTATCATATTTCAAGAGAGGAATTATATATTTCTGTTATAATCATGGATTTGTCTATTTGTTCTTTGAATTCTTCTAGTTTTAGTTTAATGTCTTGATGCTTTGTTATTGAGTGCATGACTTTGTGATGAATGAAGCTCTCATTATAAAGTATTCGTCTACTATATACATGATAATATGATTTATTCTGAAGACTAATATGTTTTCATAATGTAGCCATTCTAGCTTTAAGATTTGTGTTTTCATGGTATATATTGTTGCATCATTTTGTTACCGAACAAGAGGAGGTCCGAGGGAGGGGCAATACAATATTTGGCCCATCCTAGGGATGCCCAAAACTGCTGTACAACAGGGGCCCCTCCCAAAAAACCAAAATACTAAAATCTACTGGGCCCTTCTGTCCGCCGCCAATTGGAAAGACATCTCTCAATGCCAGAGATTTGTGAAAAGGAAACAAAATGTTTATTTAATGCTATTCAGGCCTAATGCCACCACTAAAATATCAAAGTCCTTTAGGTTGTACACCTACACCCACACAGCGCTCCCTTCTCCCACTGTCCCAACTCCGGGTACCGTAAGTCAGGAAAAGAGCACACGTCCCTTTTCCAGGCCGCTGGCACCGTCAGCTGTGTCACTGTGCAGGATCTCGAGTTAATCCAAAGTACTATGGTACCCTCTCATGGTCCACTGGCAAGAGTTCTTTGTACCCAGTTCCAGTCAAAGTCTCTGTTGCTTTTCAGGCCCCGCGGCCAAAGGGGGCATCCCAAAGCCGCGTGGGCCTCTTCTACCAAAGCTGCAGGAGTCCGCACTCCACCAAAAGCATGTGGCTGTCTTCTTCACCTGGCTGCAGGGATCTCCATTCTGGCAAAGCTGCGTGGTTTTTCCCTTTTACCTGGGAAAGAGGGGGTCCTCACTCTGCTGAAACCGCGTGGCTCTCTCCCCATCTGGCCAAGCGGGGACCCTTCATGTCCTGGAGCCAGTCTTTTCCAAGCTCTCATCTAGGCGCTCTCACTCAGGAGCGCAGCCCCTTGTTACATCCTCCTGAGTCCCAGTCCACTCACTCAGGAGAGCAGCCCTTAGTTACATTCTGAGTCCAAGCCCTTCTCCCTCAGGAGAGCAGCCTCTAGTTCCCATCTAGAGTCCCTGCTCACTACCCTTCTCCTTCAGGAGTTCAGACTTTAGTTACATCCTCCTGAGTCCCAGTCCACTCACTCAGGAGGGCAGCCTCTCAGTTCCCATCTTGAGTCCCCTAGTTCCATCCTACTCAGGAGCCCCCAAGCTGCTCCCTTCTTCCCGGCTCCAAACTTGGCCACTGCTATTTAACATATCTATGAAACCAGTTAAAGGTTATAGATATGTTAAATAACCATTCCTCCAGAGGTTAGCTCCAAAACTGTTGCTATGCAAAATAGCTCTCAATGGCCTGGCTCCATTCATCCCTTCCCCCTGGGGGGGGGGGGTGAGGACATCTTATATGTCTCTCCAGTATTTCTATACACTTTGAATTCTGGACACCATTCCAAATCCTTTTTTGGGGGGCCCCCCTGGCTGCACCCTGTATCAATTTTATTTTTAAACCTATCAATGTTTACATACAGAGCATGTTTCTAGTAGATATTTTGTAGTTGGTTTTGCTTTTTTAAATACCTTGATAACCTCTGCTTTTTGAAGAAATTTCTCCATTGGTTTTTCATGTTGCTGTGTATTTTCTGAGCAAAGGTTTAATATTTTTTTCCTCTAGGCTAGGCTATCTTTTAAAGGATGTTTGTAAAGTAAGCAAACTTGGAAGATACAGAGTTTAGATGAGATTGGTTTACTGTTCAGTATAATGGAGATAATGCCTCTCTCCAGAGTGAAGTTGGGCAGGTGTTTGCGTAGCAACCCCTTAGGTAAGATTGGGTCTTCCTTAGTTGTAACAGAAACCCACAGTGTCCACAGTATCCCCCTGGGCTCACCTGTGTAAGGGCCTCATGGGGCTTGGCAAGTCAAGGGAAACCAATGCAAGAATGCATCTGAGTGCCTCCTGTGCCCAAAGTATTGTAGTAGGGTTATTGGTCTCTACCTAGTAACTCTATTATTTTCTGCCATCATCTATGAAACTGTGATGGTCTAACTTGTTTCTTGTAAGTAGAATAAAATCTCAAATCCATCACTCTTCTAGAAACTGCCTTTTAATTGGAGTCTTTAAACCATTTAGATTTAATGTAGCTACTGACTGATTGATTTAGGATTTAATCTATTATCTTGCCATTTGTTTTCTTTGTTATCAAGTCCATTCTTTTCTTTTACTATCTTCATTTGGATAGGTTTTAAGCATTCCATTTTAACTCTATTAGCTATACTTCTTTGTGTGTGTGTGTGTTCTCTAGTATTTGCATTA